AAATAAAAATATATACCAAAGCCTTTTTTTTTTTTTTTTTTTGAGTAGGTGCCTGCCGTTACTTTTGTGGTAATTATGTTAGCATTTTGATGATGTGGCCAACAACAACCTACGTGGCGTACTAGCCTATCAATCTAGTGCACATTTAGTGAGTTGGTTAGACGTTTTCCATCTTTGAAACCTTAAGATGAGGATGTTGGAGGAAGATGTCGGTCTCTATCTTCTCCATCTAAAAGGTCTATTTACAAGTTTCATTTGAAAATTTGAATTTCTTGGAAAAGCTCCAATCTAGAAGTACTATAAGCCTCACACATGCCTTTAAGGAAGAATGAAATATGTGTTCTGAGCAGCAATCAAAGATAGAGGAAGGTGATATGTTGTGGATGTGGAGGATGAGGCTTTATACTCGAGGACTCCACAAAATTATGGGCGCACATTTCTAAGGTGTCTATACTAGGCTATACAAAACCTACTACCAATACTAAGGTACATTTTGGGAATGAGTTTCGTACGTTTTGATTACTGGTTTTGATTGTTGACAAACGAGCCATGTAATTGTGGTTTTTTGACCCCCCAAATAATGGACGAACCAACTCTTAACATGTTGAGGATGTCATTGAAGTACACTATATGCTTATTGCATATATGAGAAAAGTTGTTCAATTTTACAGGTGTTTGCTATGTTGCTTATGGTAGTTGTTTTCTTTTGTTGTGTGGTTGTTGTTCTTGTGGGCATGTTCTTGTGATTCCCATAATGTTTGTAAGTACATTCTTCACCCTCATCTCCACTCTCATTTTATTGTGCATTAGATTTAATGTGTTTTGAGATGATGTCATCATTTTTTTGTTCTCTTCTCAAACACATAATTATCTCTAAGAACCTTTTTTTTTCCTTCTCAAAATGGTTTGCTTAAATGCAATTGTTAATATCACTCCTTTTGTCATGTGTCTTATGTGTACAACATTCACATAATTATATGTTTGTACATGTAATTTTCATTGTTTTCTCATCATTTCACACTTTACAAATTTTTCTTAAAACGTAATTTCAAGTTTATAATAAAACAGGATTATTGTGGTTGGTTTAGTAGTGAAAAAATGATAATAATGTATATGAGATCTTAAATTTAAATTTTAGTGGGCTATTATACACAAAAAAAGAAAATTATAGTAAATCATTTGAACAAGACGTTTATATCCAAAAATTTTAAGAATCTCAATTAACTATTGTAAGGACCATTATTTGGATGACATTAGTGTATACATTAATCTCACTCATATGATAGCCACTCATTCACCTTGGCTCTTTATTGGTTTCTTCAACAAATAATTATCATGGCTTAGTACATTAAATATATTTGGAAACATGGTTAACAAAACACCAAACAAAACTCAAAATACCTTGCACAAAAAGGTCTGGCGTTAACAATTTGTTTATCACCACAAATTTAATTATCATTAGGGTTTCCTCAAATAGTTAAAATATTTGATTTCTTTACTCCAATTTGCTGAGATATTCTCCCTTTTCTACAACATTATAGGTGCTTCCGCCAACTCAACAAAAAAAAAATGTATTAGATTAGTCAAGTACGTCAACAAAATATTTACAAACTTACCATAAAATAACGATAAAAATCTATACTCGTTAAAAACACAGATTTACCAATTAAAATTGGCATATTATTGCCAACTTCACCATCAAAATACCAACGAAATTACCACAAAATAGAAATAAAGGCATTTTCATCATTAAAAAAAAAAACGCATTTAGAAACCAAAACTTACATTTTCTTCCTCTAATATATTTTTTTATTCATAAAAATGAATAATTTAATACTTGAGACCGTGTAACAAGTCAGATTATGGACGATCTTTATGATTTAACATTTTTTAATAAAATAAGACTTTAATTAAAAAATCATCCAGTAATCCAGTTAACACTAGTTAAGAATCTCTTCAATTCAATGTATAAAGTTTTTTTTAATATCGAATATAGATAATGAAATGACACCTCTGCTCTGCCAATTTGAAAGTTGTGATGGAAAAGTAAATAGTAAAAACTGACGAGGTTGGTCCGTATGACATCATACGTGTCGCCTTCCCGTTGCACCGTCCCTTGTCTCCTAACTACCAGTATACACCTGCATTATCATCAGATTTTTCTTTCATGAAATCTTTTTCAGGTTAGTTTAACTCACAAGAATTACTACTTAGGTGAGATGCATGAATATAAAATTGAAAATGTTTCTTTCATACTGTACGTTGTCCAAGGGAAGTCCATTAATGAATCCTCCAACTTCTCAGCATACCATTTTATTTTTGAAGCATCATTTCGATTTTCGACATTATGAATTTAAAAGAGATCGAGTCACTTTTCGGATCTTAAGCTGTTGACTAGTGTCAACAACTGTTCTGCTCATATGTGAACTAAAACTGCATACGTAGCTATAAAGTTATTGCTTTCTTCTTTTTCCTATTCAAATCTGTCACACAAAGTGGATTTGAATCTTAACTTTAAGCTAGACGCGTATATGATCCCATCAAGATCAAAGTGGTGATATATATCAGAATCATTAGGAAGTTAAGAACACGTGAAAGTATAATATTTAATTATAGCTTTAATCTTTTTGTTACATGATTATAGGCTTATAGCTTTAATTGATAAGTAGGAAAAATATAATACTTTTTTTACACTGTCATCTTAAATTCTTAATTAATATTATTTTTTATGTTAATAATATTATATTACAATATAAATTATTTCTCATAAATTTAAAATATAATTTATATATTTAAAAATTTTATTTATTCAAATTTTAAATATAATTTATATACTTAAATATAATAATTATTTAACATTTTGTACAAATTAAAATACTAATTATTTTATATGACAAATTTGTTAACTTTTAAGATAATTTTTTTTAAAAATTATACTAATAATGATTTTTTTTATTTGTCATCTTTTTAGTAAAGATAGAAAAGATTACGAAAATGATCGCAATAAGAATTGAACTTAAATTTTCATACTTCTAACTATTTCATTCTCTCCTCTCTACCTAACCACTAGACTAAATGATTTTTTTTTATATTTATCATCTGTATAAGTGTTTTAGCATCTACACTAATAAAAAAAAAATCTTACTTAGTGTCTTTTTTTTTATTTTTATTTTATTTATTATTTTACTCTTAACAACTATACATAACTTTTAGTAATTATA